TTGGTAGAATGGTGGTGTTTACCAGAGCTGCAAATTGTTTACCAAAAACCGAGATTTTCATTTCCACTATTGTTTTTCCCACCTACCATCAGACTCTCTCTCTCTCTCTTTCTCTCTTTCTCTCTCAGGCAAGCCTCTCTACAACAGCCCATTGATTTTCCCTGTTCCGCCCCGCTCAAAATTTTCATTTTCCGCGTATACCATGATTTCACAGCACGTTGTTAATTGACGGCTTAAACGAGTCGTTTTATTGCCTCGATACCGAGATAATCTTTGTAATTAGATCGATTGGTATGCAACGCTTACGCAAGAATCCTTCATTTCGCTTAATTGGAAACAATTTTAAAATTTAACGTAACGCGTATATAAATGTATATTTAAGTCTAGATAACTGGTTCAGCGATATTTCTGTATCGCCAAGGCTTTTTCACTCTTCCTGTACATATATATATATATATTTTTTTTTCATATTTAAACGTTGAAGTTGTCATCAAAGGACGAAAAGTCGCCATCTTCTTGGAGAAGATTGGAGAAACGCCTCTGTAACGGATAATAAACTTGTCTCAAATCTTAAACTCACGAGTATTGTTGTTTACTTTGTTTACTATAAAAATAACTTTTCCATAGTCACGTTAAATAATTCGTTCACGTAAATAGAATTAAAAAAATGTCAAAGTTTATCGAATTTTCTTTTTCTTCTTTTCCTCTCTTCTCTAAAACGTTAAAAAATTTTGCGCTTATTCATTATCAACCTATTCGAACAATCTCGGTGAATAATCGTATACTCACTCACAGTTTAGTAGGGTACTATAGTAATGATACAGTATATAGCAAAATGGAAAGCAAACTGGTCACAAAATAGCCTTCTATAACCTACATTGAAGTTCACCGACCCGATTCTTCAGAATCGTTTCCACGAAACATAGCTATTTCTCGGACACTTCATAGAATGTTTCAGAAAATATATTGTTATAACTTGTCGATAAGTCACGTCAATGTATGTTACCTTATTTCTCTACGAGATTATCCCTCGTATTCGGAAATTTCACGGAATTCCCTTCTCCTTAAACCTTCCTTCCTCCCTTCCTCCCAAAAAGAAAATAAAAAATTCGCGATTATAAAATTAAAACGTTAAAAAAAAGAAAGAGAAAAATGCATCCACCTGTCGCTATCCTTCAAAAAAAAAAAAAAGAAAACAACTTTCTAAACCTTCCAACATCGGATATTTCTCTTTCTCCTTCCGTGAAAACTGTCGATTATCCACTTGCTTGTTCACTCGTCCGTCCGAGTGTCGATTTTCCGACCATTCTTCCGAAATCAATTTCTCGAAATCTAAACGATACGGAAAGGATTCTCGAACGCGGGGAGGGAGGGAATTCGAAAGGGAAGGGGTAAGTTGTAATAGTTCAGTTTTCTCTTCGGCTAAGCCAAACAAACTGACGTCGTGACACTGGAAGCAGCCAAACAGCTGCATCCAGGTTTAGCTGAAAAGGCACCAAAGTTCCTTCTGTTGCTCATTGTGTTTAGCTTGTTTATTCCCGTTTGTTGCACACGTACACAGAGCTCCTGTTGTGAAACGTTATTTATTTAATAGGCCACTCCTCCTCTTTCCGCGAAAATAACTGATGGATGGCGCGATGTCGTATTTTTTTTAAATACCGCAGAGGAAAGAAGTGAATTGCAATTCGTTGGATGAACGTTAAACGTTGGTGGTATAAAAATGGTATTTGAAGACGATGGTTGCAAGAAGCTGGAAGCAAAGAAACTGGCAGGCAAAGCAGGAAACGACAAAGTCAACTATACGTGTAAAATGTGGTTGTAATGGTCCTTTTCCTTCTTTTTTTTTTCTCTTCGTGGTTTTTTCTTTTTTTGGTTTTTGTTTTTTTTTTTTTCCAAGGAAGGAAAAGACGAGCAAGACACACTTTGTAACCGTGTTTTACTTTGGAACCGTGGAAAGACACACACAAAATTGTGAAGAAGAAAATTGTGTACGCCCTGCATGAAATACGGTTACGGTAACTTAGAATAGAGACGTTGATAATTTTCATTTTTCATCCTTTTGTGCTCTTTCTTTCTTTTTTTTTTTTTTTTTTTCATCTTCTCTTTTTCTTGCCTCGTTATCGCAACCAACTTCAAACACACTTGGCCGATCTTATTATCAAAAGAGTCTATAAATTCTACTCTGAACGTGACACGTAATAGCTCGTTGAATTCGGCCCGTCGATGTCGATAATACAGCGGTGACGATAAAATTATAGATAGATTTCAAGAAGAAGAAGATATCTTAAAATTTTATTCGACGCAGTTCTTTTTTCGTGAATTCTAAAAAAAAAATGAAAGTTTAATATAATTATTAAAAATAAATAATCATCGAACGAAAAATCGAACGAAATAAAAGTAAAAGAAAAAAATAGCGGTAATGCGATACCCTTCCCTTCCGAATTTTTTTGTCATCCATGCTCTTTCCAAATGTCGCCCTTTTTTTTTTTTTTTTTTTCGAGCATCATCATGCTCTGTCGGTACGCTAGAAGCACAGTGTAGCTACATCAAAGGCAGCAGAGTCGCGCGCGAATACATTTTTCAACCTGTCTAATTATCTGACTCTTGAAAAGTCCGTCGGCATTCAATTTCGCTGAAATTTATTCGCTAGACGCCATGCTCCAGTAATTTTTAATAATAAAAGTGAAATTCCCCAAAGAGGATCGTTCGTGTACGCGTATACAGAAGAAGGTGGTCGAAGGTAGTCACAACACAGGGATAAATGTGCATCCTGTCCGTGGTTTATACATAATTATGAAGAATTACTTGAATTATTATTCGCCTCTCGTAGTTAATAATAAAATATAATTTTGACATATTGCCGATTGACCACTGTCCGTTTAATAAAAATATTATTTTTTATATTCGGTTATAGGATATATCGGGTTAAAATTTTGTAAAAGATAAATTCATTTTATCGCTGGGTATTGGCTGGAAAAAAAAATGCTATTGTTCGATCGTTAAATTGCGAAGAATACATACGAACTTTGCAATTTATTTTTTACACGATTATACACTTTACTCTCTCTCTCTCTCTCTCTCTCTCTCTCTGTTGTGGAAAATACAAATTTTTCTCTCCAATACTTTTATAGTGCTCCCGACGCAGTTAAATAATTTCACTTTATCGAATAGCGTTTCCCTTGCATGCTTTTCCCTCCTCTATTCGCGTTGGTTTGCGCGAAACTTGACCGGTTTAAAGATCCCCAAAGAAATCTTGGGAAACGGAACTATTGAATATAAACTACCTTGACACGTGAGCTTTATCGATTTACGTTTCGAATTCAATTCAATTTACAATTGAATTATTGTTAATACAAAGAGGAGATATAACATTTTCCAAGTTAATATATACTTCACGCGTGATAATTTTAACCTCTAACGAATTATTCGTGCGTTGTAAATAATTCTTTTCATTTTAAAAAATTTAGGAAGAAAAATAAAAAAAATTAATCGCGCGAATTGAAAATCTGGAAGAAGAAACTTTAACCCCCTCCCCTTCGTACTCGATATTACGATATTACGTGTAAACTGTTAAATCGATTAAAAAGTTAAAGGATTATTAAAATGGAAGTTGAACTGAGTGACGAAAGAAGGGATAGGTGGATTCAAAATTCAGAGTTGACTTATGGAACGGAGTGGGGGAGGGGAAGGGGTGGAATCTTCCGAAAGATTTAAAACATCACAGTTCGTGCACAACGACTCGCAAATTTGTCGTTTACTCGACCGTCTAGAAACTTTCCCCCAAGTTTTCACATAGAGTGTAACTTCTTTCTCGCAGCTGCGCCGCATTCCGTGCTTTTCGCGCTTCATCCATTGTTCATCGTTCCGCCCTCGCCGACTCGGATGGATAAATTAGCCGTTTAATTCGCCTTTAATTAAAACCACCACCACCTACCTTGGCCACCCTCGGCTATCATAACTAATTCCGCGAAATCTCGGTTTAAATTCTTTCACCACGATTCATTCGAAAAAACGTAACTACGATCTTATTACTTAACGAGTTATTTCCCTCTCCTCCTCCGCATTTTTATTCTTATTTTTTTTTTTTTTTTTTTTTTTCAAAATCATCACCTCACCAATTCGCAAATTGATATCCCGCGCGCAAACCTCAACTCGTAACGAAACCGAAAACAAATTAACACCAAAACAATCCAACCAACCGGTGTCAATATCAATCCTTCGTAATTCAAACGTAAACAAACATGCACACACAGTACCGCGCACACAATTCAGTTACGTTGCCATGAAATTACCATGAAATAATATATTTCACAAGGTAGGAGGACGAACCGCGAACGACCGTGAATTAAACGCTTGATCCCCTCCCCTCCTCCCCGAATATTTCGATTAAAACACGCGTGGAGTCGCGGAGGAGACTTGATGGAGGGGGGAGGGGGAGGAGAGGCACGTCCACCACCGCTTTGGACTTCCGCCGTGGTATTGATTACAAATTCAGATAACATAACGAGCTAACGAGCGATAATTATCGCGCTCTCGCCGCCCGAATCTCGGCGAGAGTGATTTAATCAACTTCGTACACACGTACGCGTATAACACGTGTGTACACAGGCGAAGCGGGAGGGCACACGCGTTAAGCGGCTGTGGCCTTTAACCTGGGTGTTAAACGGGTTGAAGGGTGATTAACGGGACTCGTCATTCACCAATTATATACCGATTGATAGATTGATAAACCTATATATCGGCGTGCTAAGAAAATATGTGACTTACAACGTGTGACGCGAGTGGATTAGATTGCGTAGATCCAATCAATGGTGATTCAATTGTTTCGTGTGGATTTTCCACGTGACGACCGACGCTCGATCGATGGAAATTTTTTGTTTTGAAACGAGTTATATTTGGTGCGAATAATTGATATTTATCCATAAAGTGTTTTGATATAAAAGAGAAAGAAGTATTGATAAAATAAGAGTGATGATAATATTAAAAAATTGCTCTTCGACGAAATAGAGGATAAAGTTAGGATAGAGTTTAGTTCCTACGAATGCCGCTACAGTGCGCTTCACGCGTAGCGATCTTCTCGCAAGTAGAATCGTCATGTTGATTTACAAATTGTCGTGGAAAAGGGAGCGAGGCATACTTACCTGGCGCAGAGGTAACCGTGATCACAAAGGCGGTCCCTCCAGGGCGAGGCTTTTCCATTGCACTGTGGCTGAGCTGACCCCTGCGAATACCCCTAATGTGGGTATCTCGGGCGTATAATTTTTGATAGTCGGGACTTGCGTTCGCGCTATCCCGCAAAGTATTAATCGCAAAAAATAAATAATCTTTCTTCAATCTTCACGAAAAATCTATTTGTCGAGTAAAAAACACGTTCTCTCATTTTCTTACTCTTTTCTCTTTCGAGAATAAATTTTTTTACAATAAAATTACTTATGCAAAAAGGGGGGATATAGGTCAATTAGAAATTTCCATAAATATTCGCCAATTTTCCCACCCTAAGTATTTTATATACTTATTATTATTACGACACTGTGTTAAAAAGAGAAAAAAACATTCATGAAATTTTAATAAGGGCGAGATCTTTATATATAAGTGAATTTCTTACCTAAGTCGATTTCGAGCGATCCCAGATAAGCGGGAGCAACGTTATAACAAAATAATGTTCCAGTTGCATGCATTAATGAAAAGTGAAATTGCTCTTTTCTTGATATCGTGGAAATTGTTTCGGAATCGTTTCGAATGATCGAAATTAACGTCATGAATGCGCCATGCCGTATTTGCTTTGAATAATTGAAACTCTACCGTTTCGCCACATCATGAATTGTAAATATTATCCGTGACCCTTCGAGGCATCTTACGCTCTATTAAGTGCGGTTAACTAGCGTTGCGACCAGAAGTGTACTATTAAACTTAGTTGGGAATGGTGTACTCGAGCGAACTCGGGACAAGTGGCAATGTTTACGTTTACAACGTGTTTATTGTTGTCGCGATAACAAATTTCGAAGATTTTTTTTTATCTTATATATAATTCGAGTAATTAACGTTCAAATTTAAATTTCAAATTCGTGCTTATTTTCTAATCCCTCGTTTTCTTTTTTTTTTTTTTCCCCTCTTTTTCTTTCCGTTAAGTATAATAATATAATTGTTCATCGAATAAAATTTATTTGCTGGAAAAAAAATTCACTTTTTAAGTTAAATGAACGAGAGATGGAAAAATTTCGTTTGTCGGGATAAGCAAACAAGCGAGAGGAATTTAATCATTAATTCGATTTATCATTATTAACGCCTCCGAATCACGCATGGTGAAAAAGCAACGCGATCGATTCTTCATTAAATAAACACACGTTTCCGCACTGGTCACTTGGAAAGCCAAATCCACATAAAAACATTTCATTCCACTTTTTTTTTTTTTTCGATCTATTTTTATACGAGAATCGCCATACTCGCGGTTCCATCCATCCATCCATCGTTATCATCGCGCCACTTTCTGTTACTTTTACAACCGCCGCATTTGGAATTAAAACCGATTCCACGAGGAAGAGAAAAAAGGAGGGGGAGGAACGGAGGGAGGAGGAGGGAGGGAAAAAAAAAAAGAAAGGAAGAGACGAGAGATGTGGTTTGATTCGAACAAATATCAATTTGAATACTAATGGAAGTACCCTGGCCTGTGATTTTTCACGAAAGGGAAGGGAGTAAAAAAGGAGAAGTAAAAGTAACGTGTACTGAGGCGAATCAGATCGTGGCTGAACAGCGCGTATAACTCGAAAGTAACTATGCATGATGTCAATAACATTTAACTTTAATAGAACGTAATTACTTTCCCTTCCTATCGATTCTTCTCCCACCTCTAAATTTCTCCACTATACACGTGCACGCGCACGTGTAAAATATTAACAAGATTCGATAAATATTCTAAAGATTTTTTTTCTTTTCTTCATTTTTTTTTAACATCGTTAAATTCGTTATTTTCGCGTTGTCGCGGCTCTTTCGTTACGACGAAAAAAGAACGAGCTCACGCGTCGTTGTTTCCGCCTCTTCAATTTCAAAAATTATAAAAAGCATGACAGTTTGACGAATAAAATTTCTTCAGACAAGTATATACACAAATTACTACTCGCGACGAAAAACGAGTAATGAAAAAAAAAAAAAAAAAAAAAGGGAGGGAAAAAAAAATCTTATTACATAACAAAGGAAACCAATGAAATTAAATTACAAAAGAATCACGTATTCACTTGAAAACAAATAACGAATCGCTTTAACAACGCCGTATTCCGTAGAGAAAAGAATATTTCGCGATTCGTTCTCCCCCTTCCCCCCCAGAATCTGGAAACGCGAAATCCACAACGCGTCACGTAACTCGAAACGTCGAGATTTACGATTCGTGATGCACACACGTTCACGCGTGTACACGCGCAATATTACGTTTCAGAAATATATATATATATATATATAAATATACGTAGTCATAAGTCGCGGACAATTTTCTGTTACCTGTGTGATCATTTTTATCGCGGTTCTGCAAACGAGCAAAAGTGTATAAAGAGAGTATAGGGGAAGGGGGAAATCGAGCAAATATGGAGCGTAGATGGGAAATAGTAATAAACAGGGAGGTGAGGGAGGGGAAAATGAAAGAACGAGAGGACATAATACGTAATAAAGGAAGTAGCCACGAAATAAGGGAAAATTGTCTACGAGTTACATCCTTCCGGGACACTGTTTTCCCTTCCATACCGTTTCTCTCTCCCTCTCTCTCTCTCTCTCTCTCTCTATATATATATATATTCCCTTACGATCCTGCCGAGTCAATAAATAATACGGTGTAACAATTTTGATAAAATTGTATATTTTTTTCCTTCCCGCCAGCGGGGGGGAGGACGATTAATGAAGTTGAGAAATTTCGACGCTCCGTTATTAAATTTATTTTATTTTATTTTATTTGTTTCGTACGATATATCCTGTGTATTTTTTCCCCCCTTTCTTTTTTTTTTCTTTTTTTTCTTTCTTTCTTTTTTTTTTAATAAAAGTTGTAATGAATAGAATACGAGAGCGGGATATATAAATTACATCGATAAAACGTGATGAAAAATTGACTTTGTTCGTAATATCATTTTTGCCACCGGTTGGCATTAAAAGTTATGTACCATCGTGACATTAAATCGAGTTATTGTTCAATTTCATTAATCTTTTATGCAATATCTTATGCGATATTATGTTTTACACGTTTATTGTTTTAGAGTGTGTCGCGATTTTTCATTTTTTTTTTGTTTTTGTTTTTGTTTTCTTTTGTTTTTCATTTCGACGAAAATATTTCTCGTTTATTAATTGTGTTAATATATTTGAGGTTATCGTGGAAAGATATGTATATATATATAATTTAAATTATTTGTCAATTTTATTCCGATGTTTTTAAAAATTTTATTTTAACATTTTTCGAAAAGGATATCTTTTTTCTCTCTCTCTCTCTCTTTTGCAAATTTAAGCGACACTAACTTTATTTTTATTTTAGCTATTAATTCCTATTGTATTAATAAATACGTGAATTTAAACAAGTGTTTGGATCCTCCTGTTGGTATATTGGATCTCGAACGTTTAATTGAACACTGTTTCGAGCAAACAGAGACACTGCGGTTTCGCGGAATCGTAGATAATCTAAATTACTATTTCGACGTGATATTAAACAAGAGACAGAGGGAGGGAGGGAGGGAGAGAGGGAAAAAAAATTTCAGTGACGAGAAAATCTCGAAATTACGCGATGGCAAAGCGAAGGAAATGGAGTCAACCGCGTAGAATTTAATTGGAATGGTACAAAATAAATAATTGTTCCATCTCGTCGATGTAGATATTTCTAAACGAATGGAAACACAAATTGCATAAAACTGTATTATTATAATTTTTCGTATGCAAATATATAATCACGCGAATTATATANTAAACATTGTAATTTTTCATCCAATATTGTGGAAAAATATTTCTTTTTAGATTAGAAAATACAGTAATTCATTTTATTTAATCGTTGCTCTACGATCATAAAGTTTTATTGTTCAAAGTAATCACTGTACGATAAATTATCATTAACGATCTTCTGTCATAAACCAATTTGTTAATCTCCATTTGCCTAATATCATTAAATTACACGTGTTTACAAATATATATCAATATTTACCTCGTTTATTATTAGGCAATATTATAAGCAAATATCTAATCGTGTATATTTACAAATAGAAATTTAAACATAAATGAACTGATAACGAGAATCGAAACAAATTAGAAACAAAAATGAATCGATAATCGATTAATTAAATTAAATCCTAATACTTACTTGCTCTCGATCGTAAGAAAATACGATATCATTAATTTAAAGTGAAAAAAAAAAAATAAAAAAAGGGGAGAAAAATTCCAAATCACGAGGGATTACGCCATCGTTACGCCGGTCTCCTAATACGAGCCCTCGAGGGTTCATCAGACGGCGAACGGGTTCCAACAAAATTCAGAATTCTAAATATAACGTCCATATTGTATTCCCGTGGCCGAGCATAATGAGTCTTCGTGGCGACAACGGTGGTTTACAAAGAAATCGTAGGCGAGATCGTGCCCCAGCCTCGTCGCAACACCTATGATTTGCGACCAAACAACTCGCCCTCTTCGCACGACAATGTGCGCCAACTACACGTTCACGTATCCAAGCCATGCACACGTGAATACAGGGTGGACTGAAAAACTTCGAAAATCTTAAAAAAAAAAAAAAATTATAATACCTTCGACTTCGAGAAAAAAACTTCGATCTCTTTAAGCGTATCTTTGAATACACGATCCTAAGTTCAATACTGTTGATTACAAATATTCCTATTCAGAATCTACGTGGAAAATTCGTTGCATCTAGGAACGAGTGAAAAACCCTGTACAAAATGAAGAATCTGTTTAAGCATTCTTGAATACAGGATAAATCAAAAAGAAATTCTAATCGATTCTAATTTCAAAAATTTTGATGTACAAATACCAATTCAAAATATACTATGTGGAAAAATCATTGCATCTAGGAACGAATGAAAAAAATATTTGCACACTCTGTACAAAATGAAGAATCTGTTTAAGCATTCTTGAATACAGGATAAATCAAAAAGAAATTCTAATCGATTCTAATTTCAAAAATCTTGATGTACAAATACCAATTCAAAATATACTATGTGGAAAAATCGTTGCATCTAAGTGAAAAAAATATCTGCACACCCTGTACAAAATGAAAAATTTGTTTA